TCCCGAAGTCTTTGAAACCCCTACCATCGATCGCAACCTTGCTGCAAGTTTGCCATCATTCACTCCTGGTCGGGTAACAATCCCCGAAGCACATTCCACCCCATTTTTAAGGTTTTCGGATTACAACAAGGGAAAACAGGAAGAAAAGGTGCGAAGAAAAACACAAATCACGCCCCGTAGATTAACCCCTACAAGTGAGTTCGGAAGTAAGACAAAAAGGAACCTATTAATGGATCTAAACCTTCCCTATTGTGATTCTTCCTCCTCCCCTGATTCCTCAGGAAATGAAGAAGATAACCCCGACAATTATGCTCATTTAAATCCCCCAAACGTTTTACATCAATGGACAGAACCTTTGACTTACAAACGAGACAATTACGCCCACTTTATTTCCGAAGACTGTGAACCCGTTGACCCCATTGCGAAACTTTTAGTGGCAACCGAAAAGATCGACTTACAGGACATCAGAGACAGTAAACCAACTAAAGGACAGGTATACGTCACTATCTGTGGACGCTATAAGGTATATTCAATTATTGTAAAAAAGCGACATTTTGATGAAATCAATTGGAATGACATAATAATTGGACTAACAAACTTGAGACATGCTATGACCTTAGACAATCAGAAACATTGCCGAATGGCCAATTCGGGCGACCTTCTAGGAGCACTCCCTCAAAATAAAATGACGGAGCTTTTAGCAGGAATATTCCGCGGTGGCGATATAAATATCACACTATGCCACGGAAAAATCGAGGTACCACCCTTACAACTACGCCCTAAGATAATATCAGAATTTCATGGCAGTCTGATTGGAGGACATAAAGGTATAACTAAAACCTATAGAAGAATACGTGAGAGGTATTATTGGCCTAGAATGCGAGACGAAGTTACAGAGTATATTCGCAAATGCAAGAGTTGCTTTGAGAATAAACTCGCCAGGGCTCGAACTCGTGAACCTATGCTAATAACAGATACCCCTGCGCAACCCTTTGACAAAGTGTCCCTAGATACCGTGGGGAAACTTCGAACCACTCCCAACGGCAATAGACATATACTAACAATGCAGGACAATTTCAGTAAATATTGCATTGCGGTCCCCATACCAGATATAAAAACAACCACCATCGCCCATGCCATAGCAGCAAACCTCTTTTCTGTATATGGAGCGCCTCGATGCGTCCTCACAGATAGAGGAGGTAGTTTTATAAGCTCCCTAATGCGGAAGCTTGAAAGCATCTTTGGGGTAAAACAACTTACGACTTCCGGATACCGCCCTCAAACTAACGGAGCGTTGGAAAGAAGCCATATTGAATTGACGGATTATATTAAGCACTACGCTCAAGATTTTGACGATTGGGATCGTCTACTTCCTTTTGCAATGCTCAATTATAACACATCAGTTCATGAAGCTACAAACCTAACCCCATTCGAGTTAGTTTTTGGACGAGTAGCCCGGATCCCTTCCTCCCTGCCACTTGGGCCAGAACTAGAAACTTATGGTTCATACCTAAAGGATCTCGTGGTCCGATTGCACGAACTTCAGAATCTGGCAGCCGACAAGCTTAAAGGAGCAAAGCAACGCTCCAAAGAATTTTATGACCGAAAGTCAAGACCATCGAAGGTCAAGGTTGGCGACCAAGTCTATACCTACAAAGAGGTTAGGACAAACAAGTTCGACAATCGCGCTAATGGTCCGTACACTGTTGTAGGGTTAACCCAAAACAATAATGTCATTTTAGAAGATGACAATGGCGAAAGGTTCGCCAAACACAAAGACAAGGTGATGGTTACCTACCTTTAACTGTCACCTTCACAAAAATTTTGTTATTAACATACAGTCAATTTTTTTTAGAAAACAAAGATGTACTTGGCACACTACTTAATCGTTTTGTACCTCTCTAACTCGATTATCGTGAAGGCGCAGATCAATCCAGTTCCAATAGGACCAATTGACGGCCCCGGATACCAGATTACCCCACTTGACATAAGTAGTGGGATATATTACGAATATTCGGGAGAAGTAAGAAGGTCAGTTAGTAATTGGAGGATCAGCATCTTCCTGGACATCGGCAAACAAGTGAGGCATTTCGAGGAATTGAATTACAAATTGAACGACGTGAAGCAGCAATGCTTTCCAAAAGAAGAATGGTGCGGTGTCCGAATCGAATCATTTCCCTGGGAGGACCGATGGGAAATAGCTGCAGACCTACAACGAGAACTTCAGCGGCAATTAGAAGAACTAGAAAGAACACGCCAGAATCTTCCTATATTGGTATCATCACAGTTTCGAGCTCGGCGCAGTGTTCCCCTTTTTGGATTCCTTGGAAAGATTGCAGGACCCATCGCTGGTGTACTAAACTACGAAGATGGTGAACATTACGAGGCAGTTATGCAAGAATTAAATGAAGCACAAGCAAACTTATCACACCTTGTTGGAAAGCAGACACATGTGGTTAGGTCTCAATTAGAAAGTCTGCATAGTCAGGTGCAACATCACGACGAAGTCTTGCAGGAACTACACCAATCTTTCGACACCCTGAATAAGGAACTAAATGGACAATTTAAACATTCTGAATTCCAAGAATACTCCAAACTCCTGGACAAAACACTGGCTGCCATAAAATTAGGACTTGATCACAACATCCGAACGACGACAACAATGCTAGACGCAGTTCACGATGCTAGAAGAGGACAATTGCATCCTGGAATTTTATCTTCAGAACAATTGGGACTTATCCTCGACGACATTAGAAATAACGCCACTGATGTTATTTTCCCCATACCTGGACCCAAGGTCAGCGTTGACGAATTAATTCAAGTAGCCACGACCAGTATTCTATGCGAGGACCACAAAATCAAAATTTTGATGGACATTCCTCTCCTGGAACAAGACAAATATGCAGCCTTCAAACTACATCCACTGCCGACTCTTCAAGGTGAACTTGGAAACGCATCTACTAGGGCATACGTGAACCCTGCATACAACTACTTAATCGTCGACAAAGAGCAAAGAACCTATCTTTTGCTTAAAGACAAAGATTGGGAAAATTGTAGGACAACGACATCGTTCCATGCATGTCTGAAAGGATCACCCATTTACGACCTTCAGAACAGACCAATCTGTGAGGTATCACTCCTGACCAATCCCACGGACAAAGTACTACGAACCTGTGATATCAGAATCACTTCAAGTCTAGAATCTTTTTGGAAACCTCTGCGGACCTTAGCAGCCTGGCTTTATTCAGTGGCCAAGCCAGAAGTGTTACTGATAATCTGTCACTCTGCTTATCCGATCAAAATAAATGTCACAGGTACTGGGATAATAAGGCTAGCCCCAGGATGTTCGGCAAAGACAAAAGATATAACTATCCCAGCAACAGCAACTCAGGTAGGCCAAACGGAGATCTTATATGAACCCGAGTTACACCTGGACTTAAAACGGATTTCAAGTGTATTTTCTACCTATTCCCATTTAACAACTACGATGGGAATTCAAGAGAATGTTCGAACAAAATTGAAGACCCCCAATTTCGATACCAACTCCAAAACTCTGGAACAACTGGAACAGGAATTGGAGAATTTTGCGATGCAGCGAAGATGGAGAACCCATCACTCTATCCTTATTTATGGGTCCTATAGTGGATTGATAATTTTTGGCATTATCAGTCTCCTCCTTCTATGTCGACACTCAATCAGTAGAAAAATCAGGACTATCACTGGCAAAAGTAATTTCAAAAGGAATAAGGCTGATCCCGTTCCGGAGACAGGGTATAAGTTAAGGAGTCAAGACGAGCACCTAGATATGCAGAGATCTGGAAAAATCCCTTCAACATCTACGAATCTAGATCAAGGCGTGGAACTCCAACCATCGACCGTTGAGGCACCTAAGAATCTTGTACCTACAACCCAATCTTGACAACTAAATTCCGAAGGCTTCGGAATTTCGACAACGAAATCAACATCATCAACTAGTGTCAGTTTACCAACGAAGAACTGCTTAAAAAGGGTAATTGTATTGCCCATACAAAAACTTCAACCAGTTTAGTTGAAGAGTAATATAGTATGCTATGCACAAATTTTACCTATATATATATATATCTATGTGTATGCATGTATATGTATGTGTATATATATCTAATCAAATTTTTATTTTTCCTGTTTCGATTTCTGTTGTTGAGTTTTATCTTGCCTTTTTTTTTGCGTGAAGATCCACGATCGATTTCTCTTACCAATTTCAGCACCGTCGGGACAGGTCCTAGCACATTCTCATGTAAAAGAACAGAGAAATCTTGAGAGGGAGGCTTACGTGGTCTGACCGCCGAACTGCCACTTGGGCCGCCCTCAATATTTTGCCAGACATCCTTTCCTACCACGTTGTCAAAGGACTGGGTGCAAATGTGCTCTAACGAGACATCAACACCTGTCTAATGATTTGTGGGAGTTTTGGGTCAGTGCCTGGTTGATGAAGAAATTGGTCGTGGAAGATCACGTAAGAATAATTGATAGTGTTAGCGGATAAACTCTACCCGATATTATTTTAATTTTCGTCATCATTCATTTGTGGAGAATAGAAAGAATAGAATAATGTAACTTACCTTGTATCGAAGCACTGAAACGTTGAAGGTCCCCTCCCCTCTAAATCCTTAACAAAAGCTATGCTTAAAAAAAAAAAAAAAAAAAAAAAAAAAAAAAAAAAAAAAAAAAAAAAAAAAAAAAAAAAATAATAATAATAATAATAATAATTTTAAGTTGTAATAAGAAAAGTTAAATTAGTTTAATTAATCCTCAACTAAATTGTTTTACAAAAGGGAACCAGTGTCGCTGGTGGCTCTGAAATTGAAAAAAAAAAGGGTGGGAAGAGGGAGGGTATAGAAAACCAAAATTAAAAAAAAAAAAAAAAAAAAAAAAGAAGAAAGAAAAAAAAAAACAGCAATTCCTATAAGTCTTATTTTATTTTTTTATATAATCATACAAAAAAAAAAAAAGAAGAAGAAAATTTTAATTAAATAGAAAAAAAAAAAAAATGGAAATGCCACGCGCGAAAAGGGAGGGAGGACGTGTCTTCTGGCCTGGGGGGAGACAGCCTACATGAATGGCTCCAGCAGGTAACCCTCCTGACCAACTTCCTGCCACACCCTGCTTACTGGAACCCGGATTTTCTTAAAAAAAAAAAGAAAAGAGAAATAATGGAGTGGAGTTCCTTCAGCACTTTCGCCACCTCACATAAAATCTATCTCTTGTAATCCTCATGCATTTAATTTTTTTTTTGCCTTTTTCCTTTTCTTTTACTATTCATTTATTTTATAACTTTATTTCCTGACACTTACCAATTGCCATCTAGCACGAGTCCTGGCTTGGCCCTCCCTGGTCCAGTAGAAACACTGGAGGAAGGAGAGGGCGAAGGCACTGCTTAAAGGCTGAAACCCAACCTGGGGCGGCACTGGTGGGAGCGAACGAAGTTTCCTAAAAAAAAAAAAAAAAAAAAAAAAAAAAAAAAAAAGGAAGAAAAATATTTTTATTTTTTTATATATATAAAATATTAATTATAAAAATAAATTGAAAAAGAAAGATAGGTAAAATATACTTTATTCTTACTACTAACCATATAGACTTATCTCGGCCAGGTCTCCACCATCCCTGAAGAATAGGGAAGTCCCCAACCGCCTCCCTGACGATGGTCGGATCAGCAAAAAAGGGCTATATATAAAAAAAAAAGAGGAGGGATTAGTTTCCTTTCTCTTTCATTTCCTCAAAAGTTGCATTAAAAAAAAAAAAAAAAAAAAAAAAAAAAAAAAAAAAAAAAAACAAAAAAAAAAAAAAAAAAAACAAAAAAAAAAAAAACAAAAAAAAAAAACATCACTTACAACTGCCCAGAAGCCTCGGCACATATAGGAACGCGTGCTCTCGCACCAACGGTACTCCTGGTACCATTGGCATCGAGAGTACCGTTTTTTGGGGCTACTGTTCCGCAGCACGGGGTCCAAGCACCATAGTGCTTCTTCGTCCCCTCGCACAGGCGCTCGCCCCCAACTTCCAAATTCCATCAAAAACCTTAAAAAAAAAAAATCAAATAAAAGAAAAATGTGTATTTTCTCAGATTTTAGTAATGGAATTATTTCCAAAATTCCATTGAAAATGTACATTTCCTTAAAATATTATTTTGAAATTTTATCAAAAATTCACATTTTCCAAAGAATTTTATTAACAAGATTGTTGTGAGAATTCTATTGGAAAAGTGTGTATTTTCTTAAATGGAATTATTTCCAAAGAAATTCCATTAAAAATGTACATTTCGTTAAAATGTTATTTTTTTGAAATTTTATCAAAAATTCACATTTTCCAAAGAATTTTATTAACAAGATTGTTGCGGAAATTCTATTGGAAAAGTGTGTATTTTCTTGAATAGAATTATTTCCAAGAATTCCATTAAAAAAAATGTACATTTACTTAAAATATTATTTTTCGAAATTTTATCAAAAATTCACATTTTCCAAAGAATTTTGTTAACAAGATTGTTGCGGAAGTTCTATTGGAAAAGTGTGTATTTTCTTAAATGGAATTATTTCCAAAAATTCCATTAAAAATGTACATTTCCTTAAAATGTTATTTTTTTTGAAATTTTATCAAAAATTCACATTTTCCAAAGAATTTTGTTAACAAGATTGTTGTGGAAATTCTATTGGAAAAGTGTGTATTTTCTTAAATGGAATTATTTCCAAGAATTCCATTAAAAAAAAAATGTACATTTACTTAAAATATTATTTTTCGAAATTTTATCAAAAATTCACATTTTCCAAAGAATTTTGTTAACAAGATTGTTGCGGAAGTTCTATTGGAAAAGTGTGTATTTTCTTAAATGGAATTATTTCCAAAAATTCCATTAAAAATGTACATTTCCTTAAAATGTTATTTTTTTTGAAATTTTATCAAAAATTCACATTTTCCAAAGAATTTTATTAACAAGATTGTTGTGAAAATTCTATTGGAAAAGTGTGTATTTTCTTAAATGGAATTATTTCCAAAAATTCCATTAAAAATGTACATTTCCTTAAAACGTTAATTTTTTCGAAATTTTATCAAGAAGGTTCACATTTTCCAAAGAATTTTGTTAACAAGATTGTTGTGAAAATTCTATTGGAAAAGTGTGTATTTTCTTGAATGGAATTATTTCCAAGAATTCCATTAAAAAAAAAAAAAAAAATGTACATTTACTTAAAATATTATTTTTCGAAATTTTATCAAAAATTCACATTTTCCAAAGAATTTTATTAACAAGATTGTTGTGGAAATTATATTGGAAAAGTGTGTATTTTCTTAAATGGAATTATTTCCAAAAATTCCATTAAAAATGTACATTTCGTTAAAGTGTTATTTTTTTGAAATTTTATCAAAAATTCACATTTTCCAAAGAATTTTATTAACAAGATTGTTGTGAAAATTCTATTGGAAAAGTGTGTATTTTCTTAAATGGAATTATTTCCAAAGAAATTCCATTAAAAATGTACATTTACTTAAAATATTATTTTTCGAAATTTTATCAAAAATTCACATTTTCCAAAGAATTTTGTTAACAAGATTGTTGCGAAAGTTCTATTGGAAAAGTGTGTATTTTCTTAAATGGAATTATTTCCAAAAATTCCATTAAAAATGTACATTTCCTTAAAACGTTAATTTTTTCGAAATTTTATCAAAAAATTCACATTCCCCAAAGAATTTTGTTAACAAGATTGTTGTGAAAATTATATTGGAAAAGTGTGTATTTTCTTAAATGGAATTATTTCCAAAAATTCCATTAAAAATGTACATTTCGTTAAAGTGTTATTTTTTTGAAATTTTATCAAAAATTCACATTTTCCAAAGAATTTTATTAACAAGATTGTTGTGAAAATTCTATTGGAAAAGTGTGTATTTTCTTAAATGGAATTATTTCCAAAATTTCCATTAAAAATGTACATTTCGTTAAAATGTTATTTTTTTGAAATTTTATCAAAAATTCACATTTCCCAAAGAATTTTATTAACAAGATTGTTGTGAAAATTCTATTGGAAAAGTGTGTATTTTCTTAAATGGAATTATTTCCAAAAATTCCATTAAAAATGTACATTTCGTTAAAATGTTATTTTTTGAAATTTTATCAAAAATTCACATTTTTCAAAGAATTTTGTTAACAAGATTGTTGCGGAAATTCTATTGGAAAAGTGTGTATTTTCTTAAATGGAATTATTTCCAAAAATTCCATTAAAAATGTACATTTCGTTAAAGTGTTATTTTTTTGAAATTTTATCAAAAATTCACATTTTCCAAAGAATTTTATTAACAAGATTGTTGTGAAAATTCTATTGGAAAAGTGTGTATTTTCTTAAATGGAATTATTTCCAAAATTTCCATTAAAAATGTACATTTCGTTAAAATGTTATTTTTTTGAAATTTTATCAAAAATTCACATTTCCCAAAGAATTTTATTAACAAGATTGTTGTGAAAATTCTATTGGAAAAGTGTGTATTTTCTTAAATGGAATTATTTCCAAAAATTCCATTAAAAATGTACATTTCGTTAAAATGTTATTTTTTGAAATTTTATCAAAAATTCACATTTTTCAAAGAATTTTGTTAACAAGATTGTTGCGGAAATTCTATTGGAAAAGTGTGTATTTTCTTAAATGGAATTATTTCCAAAAATTCCATTAAAAATGTACATTTCGTTAAAGTGTTATTTTTTTGAAATTTTATCAAAAATTCACATTTTCCAAAGAATTTTATTAACAAGATTGTTGTGAAAATTCTATTGGAAAAGTGTGTATTTTCTTAAATGGAATTATTTCCAAAGAAATTCCATTAAAAATGTACATTTCGTTAAAATGTTATTTTTTGAAATTTTATCAAAAATTCACATTTTCCAAAGAATTTTATTAACAAGATTGTTGTGAAAATTCTATTGGAAAAGTGTGTATTTTCTTAAATGGAATTATTTCCAAAAATTCCATTAAAAATGTACATTTCGTTAAAATGTTATTTTTTGAAATTTTATCAAAAATTCACATTTTTCAAAGAATTTTGTTAACAAGATTGTTGCGGATATTCTATTGGAAAAGTGTGTATTTTCTTGAATGGAATTATTTCCAAGAATTCCATTAAAAAAAAAAAAAAATGTACATTTACTTAAAATATTATTTTTCGAAATTTTATCAAAAATTCACATTTTCCAAAGAATTTTATTAACAAGATTGTTGTGAAAATTCTATTGGAAAGGCGTGTATTTTCTTAAATGGAATTAATTCCAAAATTTCCATTAAAAATGTACATTTCCTTAAAACGTTAATTTTTTCGAAATTTTATCAAAAAATTCACATTCCCCAAAGAATTTTGTTAACAAGATTGTTGTGGAAATTCTATTGGAAAAGTGTGTATTTTCTTAAATGGAATTATTTCCAAAATTTCCATTAAAAATGTACATTTCCTTAAAACGTTAATTTTTTCGAAATTTTATCAAAAAATTCACATTCCCCAAAGAATTTTGTTAACAAGATTGTTGTGGAAATTCTATTGGAAAAGTGTGTATTTTCTTAAATGGAATTATTTCCAAGAATTCCATTGAAAAAAATGTACATTTACTTAAAACGTTAATTTTTTCGAAATTTTATCAAGAAGGTTCACATTTTCCAAAGAATTTTGTTAACAAGATTGTTGTGAAAATTCTATTGGAAAAGTGTGTATTTTCTTGAATGGAATTATTTCCAAGAATTCCATTAAAAAAAAAAAAAAATGTACATTTACTTAAAATATTATTTTTCGAAATTTTATCAAAAATTCACATTTTCCAAAGAATTTTATTAACAAGATTGTTGTGAAAATTATATTGGAAAAGTGTGTATTTTCTTAAATGGAATTATTTCCAAAAATTCCATTAAAAATGTACATTTCGTTAAAATGTTATTTTTTTGAAGTTTTATCAAAAATTCACATTTTCCAAAGAATTTTATTAACAAGATTGTTGTGAAAATTCTATTGGAAAAGTGTGTATTTTCTTAAATGGAATTATTTCCAAAAAAAATTCCATTAAAAATGTACATTTCGTTAAAATGTTATTTTTTGAAATTTTATCAAAAATTCACATTTTTCAAAGAATTTTGTTAACAAGATTGTTGCGAAAATTCTATTGGAAAAGTGTGTATTTTCTTGAATGGAATTATTTCCAAAATTTCCATTAAAAATGTACATTTCGTTAAAATGTTATTTTTTTGAAATTTTATCAAAAATTCACATTTTCCAAAGAATTTTATTAACAAGATTGTTGTGAAAATTCTATTGGAAAATTGTGTATTTTCTTAAATGGAATTATTTCCAAAAATTCCATTAAAAATGTACATTTCGTTAAAATGTTATTTTTTGAAATTTTATCAAAAATTCACATTTTCCAAAGAATTTTATTAACAAGATTGTTGTGAAAATTCTATTGGAAAAGTGTGTATTTTCTTAAATGGAATTATTTCCAAAAATTCCATTAAAAATGTACATTTCGTTAAAGTGTTATTTTTTGAAATTTTATCAAAAATTCACATTTTCCAAAGAATTTTATTAACAAGATTGTTGTGAAGATTCTATTGGAAAAGTGTGTATTTTCTTAAATGGAATTATTTCCAAAGAAATTCCATTAAAAATGTACATTTCGTTAAAATGTTATTTTTTTGAAATTTTATCAAAAATTCACATTTTCCAAAGAATTTTATTAACAAGATTGTTGTGAAAACTCTATTGGAAAAGTGTGTATTTTCTTAAATGGAATTATTTCCAAAAATTCCATTAAAAATGTACATTTCGTTAAAATGTTATTTTTGAAATTTTATCAAAAATTCACATTTTTCAAAGAATTTTGTTAACAAGATTGTTGCGGAAATTCTATTGGAAAAGTGTGTATTTTCTTGAATGGAATTATTTCCAAGAATTCCATTGAAAAAATGTACATTTACTTAAAATATTATTTTTCGAAATTTTATCAAAAATTCACATTTTCCAAAGAATTTTATTAACAAGATTGTTGTGAAGATTCCATTGGAAAAGTGTGTATTTTCTTAAATGGAATTATTTCCAAAAATTCCATTAAAAATGTACATTTCGTTAAAATGTTATTTTTTTGAAATTTTATCAGAAATTCACATTTTCCAAAGAATTTTATTAACAAGATTGTTGCGGAAATTCTATTGGAAAGGTGTGTATTTTCTTGAATGGAATTATTTCCAAGAATTCCATTAAAAAAAATGTACATTTACTTAAAATATTATTTCTTTTAGATTTGTGTAAAAAAAAAAAAAAAAAAAAAAAAAAATTTTTACATATTTTCAAAAATTTTCTTAATAGTATAAAATTTGACTTACCCTCTCTCCCCCCCAATTTGGCCAATCGTGTTGTGCAGTCGGATGCACCCAGCTAGCCTTTCAATGTGTCGGCTTGTCTCCTCATCAGGGTCACGCTCTTTTTTTTCCTGATCGCGGGCAGGTCGCATCCCTTTTACCTTCTCTAGAAGGGCTAATAAGCTCTGGCGATGATCCATTATGTCACCTTCACTTAACACTATTTTTCTTTTTAAGAAAAAAAAAAAAACACAGTTTTTTTTTTCACGGTGCACTACACTCCCGTTCCGCGCGTGTTAAAAGGGAAATAAAAATTTTTTTTTTTGAAAATATAAATAAAAAAAAAGGGAGAACAGTTAAAAAAAAAAAAAAGGGGGTATAAATACAATGTGTTGACCGATTACGAGCTACCAGCGAACTGACTGCGGGGACCTGTGTCTGGACCGCGGAGACTGCTACACGTGCAGCTCCTTGGTCCTTATCAGTGCAACCTGATGCTCCACATCCGATTCTCTGGCACCAACGTCCAGACAAAGAATCAGCACAAATTCTTTATAAAGAAAAACCTAATGATTCTATTCTCTCGTTTTTTTTTTATATGTAATTGTTTACTAATTTTTTTTTAAGCCCGATTTCGTTTCCATCGCTTTTAGTTTTTGGGGACAAAAACGGGAATATTCACGGTGGTTTGTCACGGTGGTACCTAAAAATTTAATTTTTTTATTGTGCTGAAATTTACTTTTCGTAAATTTTAACACAATACTTTGATAATAAAAATTCAATCGTCAGCATAATGCGATGGGAACGGACTCGGGCCTTATTCTTGGAATGTTATGTGTGCACATATTATTATTATAACTATTTAGAATTAAAATGTAAACCGCAAATATCACTAATGGATATATGTGCATGTACTCTAATATAATTTCAGATTTCTACGAGCATTTATAATTAAATATAACCTTAAAAGGTGAAAATCATTATATATATGAAATATAATCGACAATCTTTGAATTTAATGTTGCAAATGTTGCGAATGCGTTAACGAACATTGCGGCAACGCTCCGAATGCGTTGGACGTTGCGGCAATGTTCCCAAACCACAATTGTAAAAGTTAGCAAATGGGAATGTTGCGAATGTATTAACGAACATTGCGGCAGTGTTCTGAGCGCATTGAACGTTGCGGCAATGTTCCCCACTTAAAATTAAAGAAAGTAGCGAACGGTAATATTGCGAATGTTGCGAGTGCGTTAACGAACATTGCGGCAGCGCCCTGAGTGCGTTGGACGTTGCGGCAATGTTCCCAAACGAAAATTGTAGAAGTTAGTAAATGGGAATGTTGCGAATGTGTTAATGAACATTGCGGCAGCGTTCTAAGCGCATTAAACGTTGCGGCAATGTTCCCCACTTAAAATTGAAGGAAGTAGCGAATGGCAATGTTGCGAATGTTGCGAGTGCGTTAACGAACATTGCGGCAGCTCCCTGAATGCATTGGACGCTGCGGCAATGTTCATAATTTAAAATTTAACAGAATTATTGATTGCAAGTGATAATAATGGATACCTTGTTTTGTGAGGCACGATATTGTCACTTGCGGGTCTAAAATGAGTATGGATAAGTACAGGAGCTACATTAGAAATTGGACTTCTCGCGAAAAAAAAGGATATAATAATAATAGTTCAAATAAATCTACGCGATGAGCTTTTCCTTGAACGTAATTCTTCAGCTTCCATCCTTCCTTACTCTACCCCCCCCCCCATTTTTTATATATAACGTATTCTGGGCCTAACAAACTTACATGCTCATGACAACACAACATCAAAGTTGTAATTGTCGCAAATAAAAAAAAAAAAGGGGGTAAAATTACCAAAAATCAAATCATTTTCCAACAAGGAAAATTCATAAAATAAATCCAAAGGACAACAAGTCTTTTCAATAATAATTATGCTTGATTTTATCAAGTGCATATTATTATATTTGGCTATACCATTAAAAGAAAATAAAAACTCAGCATTATTGGCATAGTAACAGGCCCAGAGCTCACGCCTTGTTCACGTGTTAAAAACCCTTAGTCCACAAAATTTTCCCACCTGAAGTCTTTAAACGTTCATATAAAAGTGCATCGCGGAAGTCAATTAATTGCAGTACAACTCTCATTCGCGAGTCAGCTCTGAAATTTTTCAGAGGCATAAAAACGATTTTGAGACGCCGGGACTAAGCCCGTCCGTGAGTCGGTTTTTCAATTTTTGCAATCCACTACATAGATAGTGATTAAAATTGGACGGACGAAAAGTTAAAATAAATACTTCACGCCGACGAAGTCCAACGGAAGTCGTCTTTAATAAAAATCCAGTAATTTGAATAAAATCAAACTATTGAATTTTTGTCTTTTTGACCGGCCAGTCCGCACGTGTGGTGCCTGCGCTGTTTAGATTCGGTGGACCCGTGAGTGCAATTTTCGTGCGCTACCAATAGACATTTTCGCGCTTGACAAGTGTGTATATTTTTTTTCGCCCGTCGGATAGCAGCTCGACGCCTCGCCCTCGTTAGCTAGCGACGGTAGAATAAGCAGCGTAGTAAGTTTTTTTTAACATGTATCGTTCCATTTTCTTATCTTATTGTATTATTTCAACATTTTAAAATCAAAGATTTCTTTTTATAATAAATGTATAAAAGGGTCTTAATTGTTTCATTGTGTCTTATCCCTTAAATTCAATTCCGAATAACGTAACTTGGCAGTTTTCTTCTAAAAAAGGATACACGATCCCATAAAATTAAACGAAATTTTTAATTTCGGCAGCTTGGTGCCTCCAGGACATTAAGAATAATAATTTTTATAATTAATATTTTTTCGGTTCGTAACAAATATTAGCAGATGGAATTCCAAGTCACTTTCCAGAACAACTGTAAATTTTATATATTTTGACACGAATTTATTAAATCCAATCTCATACCAGACTATTTTATTCTTAAATAATATTCTAGGATTTTTACAATTGAGGAGTCAGTAACTATAACAATCGATACACTTGGCCGGTCGTTTTTCAAGCGAGTCAAGCTGGTCAAAAAGTGTAACAATTTTTACCTCAAAGTTTTAATTTTATTATTTAAACTTTTTTATCGATTCATTAGCTTTAGTAGACTCTAATACGTGTATATATCCAATTTGAATTAAATTAATTATTAATTATCGGAGATACGATGATTTATAATGGAAAAATTAATTAAATTTGAAAAAGAAATTATTCGAGATTTTTTGAATTTATTAACAAAAATATTAGACTTACACTACCGTCCGAAATTGTGCGAACTCTGCTTTTTCAACAACTATAAAACTGTTCAAATCTTCAAAAATATTAAAACTAAAATTTTTTCCTCTTTATTTTATTAAAGTTAATAAAATTCTGAAAGAAATGACACCTTGACAAAGAGAATATGTTAATTTTTCAATTAGATATCTAAGAAAAACCCAATTTTCAATGTTTTTACTATTTTTTTTATTTCTCTGGCAAAAATTAATATTTTTAAACGTTCTTAGGCTCATTGAAGTCGTATTTTGTTATGCAATTCAAATTATATAAAACAATTCATGTATACATTCTTCCCTAGCGTATGCAAACCGTCAAAGTTGGCTCATAAAATGTCAAAAAATTTAAATTTAATTCTACAATAAAATATAATGTTTAAAAATCAAGTAAATATATCATTCTAAAGTTCTCTGATTTATGTAAGTAAATTTAAGATTTATACATTTTACTGATCATTTTTTGTCATATAAATATTAATCACAATTTTTTGACATTTTATGAGCCAACTTTGACGGTTTGCATACGCTAGGGAAGATTATGTACATGAATTGCTTTATATAATTTGAATCGCATAACAAAATACGATTTCAATGAGCCTAAGAACGTTTAAAAATATTAATTTTTGCCAGAGAAATAAAAAAAATAGTAAAAACATTGAAAATTGGGTTTTTCTTAGATATCTAATTGAAAAATTAACATATTCTCTTTGTCAAGGTGTCATTTCTTTCAGAATTTTATTAACTTTAATAAAATAAAGAGGAAAAAATTTTAGTTTTAATATTTTTGAAGATTTGAACAGTTTTATAGTTGTTGAAAAAGCAGAGTTCGCACAATTTCGGACGGTAGTGTAGAAGAAAAATTCATTCAGGTAAAAGTTGCACTTTTTTATTTTCTATAAGGTAATGTATTTTAAAAATTAAAATTTTGAGTTTAAAATTGTTACAATTTTTGACCAGCTTGACTCGCTCGAGAACGACCGGCCGAGAGTAGCGGTTGTAATTTTACGTGGCCCCTAAATTATAATATTTAAACAATTATTTTTTAATGCCTTTTTTACTCTTTTGATGCATTAAAATTGGGTGATTTTCCTATGTCATAATAATAAATTATTTATAGAATTTTAATACGAACAAACTAATTAATATTTTTACAGCTATTTTAAGATGCTTCATTGGATACCTCCTCGCAATGCATCTTGAAAACAATATCAAAATCTAGAATATCATTTTTTCAGTGTTAACATTTAGTCCCGGTCTCTCCTGTCCGTTACAAGTATCCCTAACATATGAAATCAATTATAGAAATTTTTGCTTCCTCATGAGGAAGCTTTGCATTCGTGACGATTTTCGATGTTTTAAAATTGGGTTATATGGACTCATTTTTATCTAGAATTAATATATATGAATAGTTCTGAGCAAATGTCCAGATGTATGTGAGTATGTGTGCGTATGTCACAAAATATTGTGTACAAATTATCTCAGAAAGGTTTTAACGGATTGTCCTGAAATTTTGTATGTCTATCGTAATCATTAATACCTAAAATCTGACACAAGGATTTCCGAATATATTCACATTTTTTTACAATTTTTTCAAAACATTTTTTTCTGTGTAAATTTAAAAAAAATTAATTAAAATTAATTAATCGATTAACCTATATAAAGTTCATATTTTACTGAAATCAATAAATTAAATAATTTTGTTTTGAATTTTTGAAAAAAAATTGTATTTGGCATTTTTTGAAATTTCTTTTTCCTATATATATAGATATTTTAATTAATTCTTGTCAAAATTGTATTTCTGGCATGAAAACGAATCGATTGATGTATATAAAGTTTACATTTTACCAATAATTATAAAATTGATCGCTATTTTAGTTGTAATCCTTTTTTTAATCTTGAATATGTATAAGTGTATCATGATGAGGAAGCTAAAGGAAATAAACACCTAGTTATTTACTTGTCAAGGAATTAATATTACCTTA